CGCCATGTGGGGGTCTCTGTCATGAGCCCCCTGACCACTCTCCCAGCCCCACCCCGGCTGTCCCGCCTGGCCCCAGCTCCCAGTTCTTTAAAAAAAAAAAAAAAAAAGAACCACCAGCTCCTGCCAGGTGGGGGGCAATCTCCACTGCCCCACACTGCCTCATGCTGCCATGAGTGCCCAGAAGCCCTGATGGCCACTGCAGGAGCTGGTGAGCCTGGGGCTTTATTTATTTATTTATATATTTATTTTTAAAAGGACCAGGAGCTGGGTCCAGGTAGGGTAGCCATGGGGGGTGGGATTAGGACAGCGGGTGAGGAATGGGGGCCCATGGCAGAGCCCTCAACACAGCATAGGGTAGTGGAGTGGGTAGTGGGGGGCTTTTAAAAAAAAAATAAAGAGCTGGGAGCTGAGGCCAGGCGGGGCAGCCTTGGGTGGGGGAGGCTTGGAGAGTGGGTGAGGGTTAGGGGGCTGGGGGAGCAGGCAGGGGATGGAACATAGCAGTCCCCTCCTCGAGCCCCCACTCCCCTTACTTACCAGCACAGAGTTCAGATCCAGCTCCCTGCAGTGGCGAGCAGGGACTGCCCAAATCTCTAAAGTTCTCCGAATCTTTTCCGAATCAATTCAGAGAACTTCGAGTTGATTTGGACCTTTTTATTCATCTCCTGATTTGATTCAGATTTGAAGATTTGTTCACCGAATCAGGCCAAAACTCCTATGAATCGAATCAGCACCCAAAGCTTCGTACAGCCATGTTATTTAGTTTAAATAACAACCTAGAATATATTCATTTGGCCCAATATTTTCCCATTAATATTGCTATTGAATGTAATCACATAAACAACACAGTAATGTATTAGCTAATCCCCAACAAATCCTTTGATATTTTTCTGTGTGAGAACATAATCCGCCCCCTCAAAAAAAACCCTCAAACCGCTGTGAATTTAAGTAATCATTTTTCACAAAAATTACAATGTTCCAGATGATGTTGTTAAAAAATTATTCCTTTCCCATCACCTCTGGTCATGTTACTCCCCTGAGTGATTTCCTTCACTGCCTTTCTCTTGCTTTAAGGATTATATTTTCCTTTGTTTATTCATGTTATGTTCATTGTTATTTAATCACATTTGTATTATATAAAGTTTTACTTATATATAGCTCGGGAAATCCTGTGGAGTACATAGCCATCCCCTATATTCATAGCATTTATTTTGGAACACAAGACCATAAGAAAGAAAAACTGCATTGTGGGCATGATTCATTCTTTTTTTTTTTTTTTTAAAGAATGCCCACTCAGAGCAGGGATGGCTACCAACCCAGAGCACACCTGCCAGAAGTGGCACTAGAAGCCACTATGTATAACACACAAAACCTGGGCTCTCAGCAAAGGAAGGACTGGAATGGAGGCAGTTTCTAGAGATGGTGTCAAGTGTCACTGTGAAGAGTCTTGTTAATCCTCCCCTGGCCCTGCAGCCACTGCCAGTTCAGGAATTTGGATCCATATAAAAGACTACAAGGCTTGTGGGGCCAGAAAAGGGAGGCAGTGACATTTTTCACAGCAGCGAACTGCCCCCACTTCATGTAGCCAGAGGTTCAAGTCCTTCTGCCTCCATTCCAGCATCCCACAGGGCAAACCCTCAGGTAAACCCCTGCAATGCAAGTAACCACAGAGGCACCTAGGGAGGGCTGGGGCTTAACTTATGGCATGCCCAACAAAAAGGTTAGTTAGCCATCACTGACTTAAATGAAGAATTAGTATGCAATGTATGTAAATGTGTGTGTGTGTGTAAATAAATAAATATAATAAACACAAAAATAAATACACATATACGTACACACACACACATATACATACATACACATACACTATAAATTCTATATATATACTTTTTAGACTTGAAGCACCTCTCAATAGACTTAAGGCACTATGTGTATTAGATGTCAGTTCTTAATTTGCACTCATTGTTTTTACTACAGCAGAAATAATAGATCAATTTTACTGTTGCAAAGAACTCAGACTGCAACAAGTCAGAATATGTTTAATACTAAGAATTCCCCTTTGAAGTCTCTGAGTTAATCTTGTGAATCATGTCTGCACACCCACATGTGCCAATATTCTGTGGTACCTTGTGTCATCCTTGAAAGGATCACCAGGTTAAGTATCACTGATATATGCAATGTAAAGGCATAATGTCTTTACCAATTTCAAAAGTATGAAAAAATAAAATAAAGGGCAGCTAAGCCAAGCAATATAAACTAAAAAGTAGGGCTGTAAAATGATTTTAAAATCTGATCATGATTCCTTGCGCGATTAACAAAAATAGTCAAAATTAATCATGATTTTAAATCGCACAGCTGAAAACTCAAAATTATGGACAGAACTCAAAATGATACAAAATTATGCAGATACTTTGTAAGGCTGAGGGGCTGTTGGTGTGTGTGGGGGGGGTTTTGGAGCTCGGGCGGGGAGGGCCGCGGGGGGGGGTCTGAAGCACAGGGAGGGGGGATCTCCGCATGTTCTGGCAGGATGTGGGGTACTGTGGGTAAGGAATGAGGGGCAGCAGCAGGGCACAGGCATATCACTGCCTCCCCACAATCATATTACCACTTCCCCCCCTGCCCACAGGTGTCTTCTTTTTTGAAACTGAAAATATGGTAACCCTACAGGAATGCATCTCAGCAGCATGTAGAACAACACCTAGCATGTAAGTCTCATCAGGAAGGGAAGGGGTGGGGGGCCAGATAGAGGGCCCTATGGTGAGAAAGGCTGTGGGGCAGGGGCTGGGGTGAATGGGACTCTGGGGTGGGGGCAGGTAGTGGAGCCATGGGAGGCTCATCCAGGGTCATG